GAGTTTGGGAATCGCTCCAATTTTTGTTCGTCGATGAGAGGGGAGTCGGAGAAGTTGCATCATCATCATAATCAGACTCCTCCGCCGGTACAGACGCCGCCGCCGCAGCAGCAGATTTATGGGGCCGTCGCGAGGAATAAAATGGGCAGTAAGTCGGAGCGTGCGGGATCGTCGACGGAAAGTTATAGCACAGGTGCTATGATGGATATGAAAATTGTTGTTAGGCATAGAGATTTGAAAGAGATTGTCGATGCGATCAAAGAGAATTTCGATAAAGCTGCCGCAGCCGGAGATCAAGTCTCGGAGATGCTTGAGATCAGTAGAGCTCAGATTGATAAAAGTTTCAGGCAATTGAAAAGTAAATTCCAGTTGTGGACACTTTTGTTTTAAGCTAAATTCAGCTTAAATCAATTTAAATTTTAATCTCATTTACTTTCTTTCTGTGATTCTTTTCAATATGTTTTCCATTTTACAGAGACGGTGTATCATTCAAGTAGCGTGTTCAGTAACTTGAGCTCAAGCTGGACTTCTAAACCGCCGTTGGCGGTGAAATACCGGCTCGACGCGACTGCGCTCAATGAAACGGGCGGTTCAAAGAGCCTTTGCTCTACTTTAGACCGGCTCTTGGCTTGGGAGAAGAAGCTCTACGAGGAAGTCAAGGTAAAAGTTTCTCCTTTTTCCCTTTTTTTTCCCTTAAAAAATCCTTTAGTTTTTATATATTTATTCTTTTTAAAAAAGATTTAGCTTTTTACTGATAATATTGATGCCCTTTAGCGTAAGGTTGATGATATTTTTCTTCAATCTGACTAAAACACCCCTTCAGGAAACGGTTAATGGGATCGAATCTTATGGACTACGGTCGTCATATACTTTTATTCTACATTGTTTTTGTTTACTTTTTAGTATTATTAGTACTATGGTAAATGACAAAAATACCCTCGACTTTGATGCTGGACAGTTATAGAAGCATGATTTCCATGGCCAACGAACTTATATTTTTAAGTTGTAAGGTGTAACCTTATTGTGCTTTGAATGAACCGCGGTTGAAATGTCTAAGGACTTGTTATCTAGTTTTTAATTGACATTAGTTTCGGATTCTATTCCTAACAACTCCTATCCCAAGGATGGATTGAGGAGCTAGGGGGGGGCGAACATCCCTGAAAATTTCAAATTATATGTAGATTTTTTTTTTATTGTCGATCGACAACCTGTTTTCGTCCCCTTGCATAAAATCTTGTAGCCGTCCTCGGGTATCCTATCCCTAAACCCCTTGTTCTGTAGGCTTAATAGTTAACAGTATTATTTTAAGCAGGAGTCAATTTAGCTACTATTAGTCAACTACCCTCTTTCCCGTCTAGATCCCCAATCTTGCATTTGTTAGTAATTTAGAGGGGGATTTCTTGTTTGGGTAATGTTTTCTTTCACATCATTACATGAACTTTAGTTTCTTGCCTTCTACCTACTCAAATTGGTGCTGGTTGGTGGAGAATAAAGATGATCGCAGTTAATTTGCCTCTATGCTTCAATTGTAAGTTATTTACGGTGACGTTTTTTACTGAATTTTTGCTGTTTTGAACTTGTATTGAAATGCTAAGGAAAAAAAGTTGCTGGGTAACTTTTATAAGGGTATTGAATGCGTTCTTTTTAATGAACTTCTGTAAGTTTCTTGAATTGGTTGGGCATATTGACTCTGGATAAAAAAATAATAAGCAAGGCGTGGTGCAAAGATAAATTGATAATATTCCTGGTTGTTGCCTTCCTATGCGGCTGTGTTTATGCGATTTTCAGTTGTGTATGTTGGATCTATGTTGTTGAGATGAGAGCTGATATAGGCAATATATGTTCAACGCTTTCAGGCTAGAGAAGGTGTAAAGATTGAACATGAGAAAAAGTTGTCAGCGTTGCAAAGTCAAGAGTACAAGGGGGAGGATGAAACCAAGATAGACAAAACCAAGGCATCAATAACAAGACTGCAGTCACTAATTATTGTCACATCACAGGCTGTCTCTACCACCTCTACTGCCATTATGGGGCTTAGAGACAGTGATCTTGTTCCACAGCTTGTTGAACTTTGTCATGGGTAAGTAGTCCCTTTCTCCTCTTGTTACTCTCTGTTTTTGTCTTGAAATGGATACGAAATTCTTTCGAAATGTTAATGACGCAATGCAACTATATAGAACCTTAAACCATTAAACATTCTAGGCATCATCTTGGAAACATACAAGTTCAATGCTAGCAGTCTGGTAAAGTATTATTAGAGGTCAAATTCTTCTGCTCCATTTTGCATTTTTTCCATCTTTCAAAATTGATTCTTACACTATAGATCTTGTCCATGGGTAGATTGAGTCTTTCGGTAGAGAAATTGAATCTCGAATTGGTTTTTATCTCATGTTAAACATGCAATGTAAATTTTAACTGGTTGCAGGGTAGGTGAACCATTATGGTTCACTGCTCTGCCATGCCACATGATCACCCTCTCTTAGCACATGTACCTCGTAGTCTTTGATCCTTTTAATCTGGTGGCCCCAACACTACTTGGCAGCGTTTCTTCTATAGACTCCTTTTTAGCCACAGACAAGTGGGGGATGGGGGTTAGGTGCACCGGATTTAACTATTATATGACCCACCATAATCTAATTCGACAGTTTGTTGAAACCTGAAGGTGCTAAACAAATCAAAGCGCCTTTATCTGCATCATTCAGCTATGTGATTAAGAATGGCTAGAAGTATGATTATTCACTATAGCACCTCAGACTGTTTGCATATTCTGTAGTGTAGTATCTATTGTTAGATTAAGCATGCTGACTTCAAATGGGTCATAATACTTAAGTTATGGGTCAGTTGAGGCCCGTATTATTAGGGTGGATGAGATCATTTATGGGGAACATACCTGCAAGCTTTATGTTGGTGCTTGTACTTATAATTGACTGCCAGATTTTATATAGGATGAAAACCTTATTCTGAATTACTTCTTTTAGTTGTTTAGATTATTATATTAGGGTATAGTAACTTTTGTTTTCCATTTGAATGCTACATTAATTTCAACTTGAATATTATCTTTACAAACCAAATGGATTTGAATGCAGGTTCAGGTATATGTGGGGGTCGATGCATCAATATCATGAAGTTCAGAACAATATTGTGCAGCAAGTCCGTGGCCTTCTAAACAGATCAGGAAAAGGTGATTCAACTTCCGAACTGCACCGGCAGGCAACGCGTGATCTTGAGTCAGCTGTCTCTGCCTGGCACTCTGGTTTCTGCCGTTTAATAAAATTTCAACGTGATTTCATCCGCTCCCTCCATGGCTGGTTCAAGCTCACCCTTCTTCCTGTCAGCAATGACTATGTTGATGGCAATGGCAACGCACAGCTCTCTGATGCATATGCATTTTGTGACGAGTGGAAGCTTGCTCTTGACCGAGTCCCTGACACAGTAGCTTCTGAAGCTATCAAAAGTTTTATCAATGTTGTCCATGTTATATCCGTTAAACAATCAGATGAGCTTAAGATTAAGAAACGAACTGAAACTGCATCGAAAGATCTTGAGAAAAAGGCATCATCTCTCCGGAACATAGAGAGGAAATTCTACCACTCGTACTCTATGGTTGGTATCGGCCTTCCTGATTCTGGGCCTGATCATGGGCAGGTACTGGATGCTCGGGACCCCCTTGCTGAGAAAAAATCCGAGCTTGCAGCCTGTCAAAGGCGGGTGGAAGATGAGATATTGAGGCATGCCAAAGCAGTAGAGGTGACAAGAGCAATGACTCTGAATAACATTCAAACAGGCTTGCCAGGCGTTTTTCAAGCATTGACCAGCTTTTCTGCCTTATTTACCGAGACACTCGACTCGGTATGCTCCCAATCCTATCGTATCAAATAGATGAATACAATTTTCTTCCACGCATGAATTTTCGAGGTAAAATTTGCAAGAGTTGGGGTTTGATCTGGCTGTTGGATCTTATAGTTATCGCTTATTTTATGGGGGAAGTGTAAATACATGGGAGGTGGTCTTTTTGTGGTTTTGTCAATTATCAATTGTCAAGCAAAGGCAAGTGTCTGTACAGGAAATTGCCTCTCATTCTTGATTCTTGTATCCCAATAGGAAAAAATGCAATTTTAGCAAATGAATAAAAACACAAATTCTGCCCCTTTTTTACTTTTTCTTCTGGTCGATTCTGGGGGTGGTGGGGCTATTTGTAATTGTGGAGAATAGGGACCAAACAATGCATTATTGATGGGAGGGGGACCACTGGCAGCTGTGCTTGCCATGTTAAAAGCTTCATTCATCATCCTTGGCTTTGCCATGGCCATGGCTTCTCAAGGTTACAGTAAGCTGTGATTCTTTGGCAAATTCTTCATTGAGTTTTTAGTATTATTTTATGGGATAATTTAATGTTATTATAAAGGATGGTTATAGAATCCAAGATCCAGAGGGTTATCAGGAATCATGCAGTTAGCCATCATCCAGAGAGTTTGGTTGACCTCACCGGCGGCAAAGTAGGATCTTCACTGGACATTTCTGATATTTTTATATATTTTAAAACCTGCAATTTGTAGATAGAGTTTTCTTACATTGTGGCTTAATACTTATCATTAAGAGTTGGTCTAATCTTTGGATCCCAAGCCTGTAATTGTTAACATTTGTTTAGTTACTTTTACCAATACACTGACAAAAAAACTCATCCATTGCGTGAGGACCAAGCAGAACGTACAAAGTTTGACCAATAGAAAAAGATTTGAAAGTGAAAGCAAAAGTTGAATATTGTGGTGCCAGTCTGGTGGGACTCGTTGCCTAATGCTAACAAGTAAAAGAAAAAGAACCCTTTCTGTCGGGTCCGTCCGTCTAAGATTTGGCTTATGAATGTAGTGTTCAAGCCACTGTGTGTCTGCAATGAACATTAATTTTCATTGATTTTAACTAGTGACTGATTGACCTGAAGTATATATAATTATGAGAACAGAGAACTTACTGTCCACAGCAGGCTCTTGAAATGATTTTTGAGTAATACAACACATCATCCTCTAAATCAAAACTAGAAGAACTCAAAGTCCAGATATTTACCCCCAGATTTCATGTCTGTCCCTGGCCCTGGCACTGGCACGGCGCCCATCCCTACTATCCTTTTGCTACCAACACCAAGTGGCTCCACCGGCCTAGGTTTCACGGGCATCCCAGGAGGAAACTCACTCTCCATGGGTCTTGGCACCTCGGGTGGGGTGCTGCATCGTATTAGAGCCCAGTTTACACCTTCAAAGAAAGGGTGTTGCTTTATCTCGGTTGCACCCCTCTTCACCCCTAGCCGGTGCTGTGGCTCCTTCACCAGCAAGCCCCGGATCAAATCACGGCTGGCAAAACTTGTTGCTGGCGAATCAGGGAATCTCAACTGTTGGCCCACGACATTGAACAATGTAGCACGGTTTCCTGAACCTTTAAAGGGGGTTTTGCCGTAGAGCAATTCATGCAAGAAGATTCCAAAGGTCCACCAATCAACAGCACTCCCATGGCCTTCTCCTTTAATTATTTCAGGGGCTAGGTATTCGTGGGTTCCAACAAAGGACATAGACCGCGCTGCAGTAGGCTCTGCTACAAGCTCCGGGAGGGTACTAGAAGGCAACCCAAACTCGACTCGAGGTTTCCGGTTTTTCTTCTTGTTCTTTTGTGGGAATAGCCGTGGTAGAAAGCAGGCAGGCTGGATGCAAACCGATGTAGGCTCAATGCAGGCAGGCTGAACACAGAATGCACCACCAGCTCCACGTGAAGGATCGGAATCAAATGCTGATGATTTTATCAGGGTGGGAGAAACGGCACATCTTAAGGAAAGATCAAAGTCCGAGAGCATTATGTGGCCATCATCACGAACTAGAACATTTTCAGGTTTCAAATCCCTGTAGACAACACCAAGCATGTGGAGATACTCGAGTGCTAATAGAACCTCTGCCGCATAAAATCTGCATTAAGAACAAGGGTTTACAATTTTTTTTCAAATGAAAATTACTGATCTCTGACACGACACACACCTGATAGAAAAAGAGCTTATGACACCAATATGATGACCATCGTCTTTAGCAATGTCTTTATACCATCTATACAAAAACATAATCAACATCCAAGGCATGATGAATAGATACATAGCAACCTTAGAACACTAGAAAAGGAATTACGATTCCAAATAGTCCAGCCTTTCGAGTTCAAGGAATTACTGGATACTATTTCTTCACAAAAAAATCGGATAAAGATTTCATTCCATGGCATATATACCAATAAAATCATCCCTAGAGGTTCCCAGACGAGGAAAGATAAAAGAGGAAACCAATGCAAGTGCACACCAATCAAATAACTAGGAACCAACTTTCTCTAAAGATATTAAAAACAGTAGGAATCATGGTCAACAGAAAAATAAAAGAAGAGATCAGCTAACTAATCCTAGCAGAAACTAACTCTGAGAAATAAGAGGAAAATATCTTGAAAGACGATATGAAAAAGAGGATCAAGGAAGGGGGTTTAAATAAAAATAACATATAAAATAAACCTTACTGCAGAATATTTTTTTTCGGTTTATAGTTCTAAGCAACTGGGAGAACGTTTTAGAGTAAATAAACCATACCTTGCAGCATACTCGGAGAAATGCTTTCCAGGTTGCCGTTGCCTCAAAGTGTGTAGATCACCCCCCGGACAATACTCCATGACTAGACATGAGAACCTGTCAGTTTCAAAATGTGTATACAGAGTAGGTAGAAATGGATGGTCTAGCAGCTGCAGAATCTCCCTTTCTGTTTGAGCCCTACTCAACTTCTTACGACTTGCAAGGGATGCCTTGTCCATTACTTTCATCGCAAAATAACATCCAGTACCACTCAGCTCTGAGAGATAAACACTGCCAATGTCACCACAACCAAGACGTTTGAGCAATCTAAAATGACTCATTCCTAATATTCCATCTCGAGCACGAATAGCAAGGATGGCCTTCCATCTAGGATCATTTCCTTTATGAGGTTTATTAGCACTGCCGGTGATGTTACTCCAGTTACTGTCATCGCTAAGGCCACTGCTATCACTTGCTCGGCTAACACTAGTCTTTGCGCTCTCAAGTGAATCTGCTCTAACACTTCCCTTTGTACTCTCGCAGTTCCTATCCATGCTGAACATGCCATCACTAGTAACAGCATCACTCCTATATGTACTAGCACAACTATTGACAATGCTCATCGCAGTCGCCACCCTGGTACTGTCAATGCTGCTATGTGGACTCACATTACCACTTGGAGGCAAAGAAGCATCCCAAACACATTCCTTTTCATCTGAATCTGGAGGAAGGAGAGAGTTCTCCCTATTTTGTGATGGCCGTGGAACTGAAAACGGAGAAGAGATTGCACCAGGATCGTTGGGTTCTTCAACAAAACCATCTGCTGGCAACGGAACAGTACTTGGTTTCTTAGGTGGAACTCTAATTGAAATATCTTCTAGAAAAGGTCCCTTCACCGACATGCTCTTCATCAAACACCCCGGATCCGACTTCTTCTGACCAATTGGTACATAAACAGGTTTTATCAGATCTGTGTCAACAGGTTCAGGAGGGTGACTAGCTCCCGAAAAAGAAATTGGTCTGCTTTCCAAAGAATCACTGCTGCCCTTACAAGTAATAACATCAGGCATGAATTCTTCGTGTTCAAGCAAAGAATCTTTCCCTTTCCATGTCCTCACAGGTTCAGTCAACTCGAAGTCCAGTGAGTTTCCGGAATTGGCTCGACCCGTTTCATCTCTAACCAACACAGCTTGCAAATTCGGCACAAGACCTGCTTCTCTCCCAAAGACGGAAAGGGTATTTGATACTGAGCTCAACGCAGGCAACCTTCTAGGAAGTAACTTTGATTCAGTAGCCCTTTCCATTCCAGACAATCATGAATCTTTACATGGAACTATCTTAATCTTACAGCAGACAAATCCTGCAAAAGGAGGATGAAACTGAGCTCAATCATTCCTCTAGTTTTCTGGTTGGACTTTAAAAGGCCATCCACTAGACCATTTACTATTATAATATTCTTTTAAACATACAAATCAACAATTCCATTTTCATATTTTAGCCAACTCTATTGGCAAACCCAAAAAAGAGGAATTAATCAATTGAAAACAGACATCAAAATGGACACGCTGCCAAACCATCTTATCTACGCTTAGTTCACAAACTATACTTTCAAAACAGAGAACTTAGTTTATCATATATTCCTTCTTCCTGCATTTTCAATCTAAACAGGTAAAGACTTTTTCTAAAACAAGTTTTAGCAACAAAAGAATATATGAAACAAGAATATATGACACCATTAAGAGAAAAAGAAAATCAACTCGCTGCTGAAACAAGAGCAAATCAATGGAATAAGCTGGTGAAATGCTTAACTTGAGGTGCAATCAACTGAAATGCCAAAAAATATGATACCATTAAGAGAAAACCTAGTTTTTTCTTCTTTTAAATGAAAAAAAAAAAGCCTTGGATGCTACAACTAAACATTTTCAACCTCTCCCCCTTTCCAAAAAAAACAAACGGAAAAGAAGAGAACACGAAGAATGTTCTCTAATTCCAGTTCAGCAAATATACAGAGAGATCCTCATAATCCCATCAGAGAAAAGGTAAAGGGAATCGAAATACATAACATTCAAGACAAAAATAAGAAACCAAACCCCTAAAAATTACACAGCCTAAGGAGAATAGTAACCTGTACGGGAACTTCAAAAAGAAAACCAGCAAAGGATTGAGAAACAGAGGTTTGTATCAGTCCAAAGCCTTGAATTTCTCTCTGTGTTCAAAAATTCCAAAAACCAAAAATGCTAAATTAACAGATATTGATGGAGAGCTCGAGCGAGTCTCTCTCTCTCTCTCTCTCTCTCGCTACACACTGCTTCTTTTCTTTTTCTTTCTTTCTTTTCTTAAGCTCTGCCACTAAAAAAAGGTTTAGCTATTGTGTGATGGTTTCGAATTGGCAGGCTAGCTTTTGCTTTTGCTTTTGCATTTTTTCTTTCTTTTCTGAGTCAGAGTGGCCGAGTTTTTCTTTGCTTTTTTGTAAAATATCAGAGAGCGAGGCGTTGGGGGAGGGATAGGAGCATATTCGGTTCGATTTTTACTAAAAATTGAATAGAATCTAAATAAATTGTTTTTTAAAATTTAAACTGAAATCGAAATTAAATAGTTAAAAAATTAGATTATGTGAAATCGATTTTTTTAGTTCGATTCAGTTTATCGATTTTTCAATGAAAAATTCACTTGAAATTATAAATTTAAAAAAAAAATTGTCTATTAGGTTTAATATAGAACAAATGGGTTCCATATAGAAAACCAGAACCGAATCAAATCAATAGAATTGATTCTTTAAATCAACCTGAAAACGATCTGTTTAAAAGTAAACCCGAACATTTTTACTCGATTTGTGTCGGTTTTTCGATTTTTTCGATTTCGTTGCTTAGCCAAGTATAATTTTAATAATAATTTGATTTTAAAATATGGTTAGTTATTTATGGTTCATTTATAGGAACGTAGTTTATATTTATTTATTTAAATAATATTATCAAGTAAAATAGTATTCTTTCTGTAGTAGTATATCATGTGAGAAACGTTTTTCAAAAGTTGTATAGTGTAAGATGTAATTTTATTGTTGTAATAGATTTTTGAAATAATTAAAATAAAAAATGATGATAATAACATGTCGAAATCTTTTTTAAAAAAAGCTATATAAAATTTATTTAAAAGTAATAATGTTAAAAGTAATTTTTGGATAATTTAAAATTTAAAATTACTTTTTTTATTTGAACATTAATTTTATAAAAAAAATTAAAATTTTATTTAATAATGTTAAAAATAATTAAACAAAATTATTTTATTAAAATAATAGTTTATTATTGGTATAAAATTTTTGAAACCGAATAGAATTGAATCTACTGACAGTAAAAAAGTTTAGATGAAACCGAACTAAACCGATTGCATCGTAACGAGGGAGAGAGAGAGAATTTCGTTTGGGATCGGTGGCCCCACTTTTGTTCAGCTACATTGCTTTTTCAAATGTAACCCCTCCCTATAGATGGCAAACGGGCGGGTCGAGTGCGGATACCTCTCTCCTATCTCCATACCCACTTAATATTTTTTAATCCACCACCCGCCCACCACCCATGATGGGTAAAAATTTTCAAATCCACACCCGTCCACGCGGGTACATTCTCAAATCCATCCCCACACCCACTACCCACTGGAGACGTACCCGACTAGACCCGCCTGACAACAAACTTAAGTTATACATAAGCAACAAACATAAAACAAACACATCTATTAAGAAACGTAATAAAATAAACTAATGATTATATGAGTTAAGTGTTGATATAGATCTTAAAGTACAAAAAATATCATAATAAAAGACATAATTAAAGTCTAAAAATATAAATGACAAACACATAATGTTTTTGTTCTTTGACACAACATTCTAAAATTTCAAGCAATACTTGTGACATCTAATACTCCAGTATTACAATTATCATTTTCATAAAAACATCATAATAAAACACTAGTATTACAAAATACTCGGTTGAAATTTGAATTTGAAAAAGTCAGTTTCAATGGCATTAAAAATAGAGGTTTGAGAAGCACATGTGAAACACTTAATTCCATTCAGTGGCGTTAAAAATGAAGATTTGAGAAGCAACGATCTGACTCTGTTAGCTAGAAACGTGGATGCTCAGTCACAAGATACTGATTTTTAGAACATTAAGAAATTAAGCTTAAAACAAACATTAAGATGAATCTAAAAAATAATTAAAAATCAGTACGAGCAAATAAAAATTAAACTCTTAAAACTAAATGTAGAGGAGCTTAAAACGAAATGACTACGAAAATGACTCTTACAAAAATTAAATTTCAAGTAAAAAGGGAAGAAACGTACATGAATAAGCTGGAGAGTGAAGACAAGAGGTTTGAAAGAAAAAAATTTATGCATAAACTTATCCCTAATACTTGGTTAAATTACAAGTTATATCTTATACAATATTATGATTTATAAATTAATCTCTTAAAATTACACCTAAATTCATAATGGTCCAAAATTTAATGGATATTTAGTTGGACGGGCGGATGTGGAGAGGGCGGATGCGGGGCGGGTGGATGCGGGGCGGGTAAGATCTCAAACCATTACCCGCCCACTACCCTCGACGGGTACCACTTTCTAAATCCACACCCGCCCACTACCCACTAAAATTATACCCATTCCCATCCCAATTAAAACAAATACGATACGAAATCCACGAAATTATACCCGCTTGCCATCCTTGCCCTCCCCTTCCTCCCCCCGTACCAAATTCGAACTATTTTTGGCATTTTCTTCACCTCCCGTAATCCGTTTAGACACCTGCATTCATCACGCGCTCAAGGTAGCGCGTGCATTTTACTTTCTTGATTCATTACATTGTTGAGTTTTTTAACCTGGCCATATTGCCATTCACTTATCATTAAGATTACAAATGGCTTATTGAATTTTAAAAAGTTATAAAAATATCACTCGATTAATTTATTATAACAAATATGTCACTGTATGGTGAATAATGAAATGGATATTAATTTTTTTTAATTATAATCAGACCATTGTATTTATTAATTATAATAATCATGTAAGTCAATTTTAATTAAAAAACTACCATATATATTACACATTTTATGGAAAAAAAAGATATATTCGTTGTACTCGATAAATAAAATGATTCATATTTTGAAATGGAATGATGCATTTGTAATCCTATTAATAATTGAATGATATATGATGTAATTTATCCTTTTAACTAAAAACATCTTAATTTTTGAACTTAAAGTTTTAGTTATTGATTTTAATTTCATTTATTGCATCAAACATACAAAATAATGGTGAACAGTAACAATGTAACTACTTTCAAAACAATAATTAACACAATTTTTTATTACTTAGTTCTTAGTGCTGGATTTTGTTAGTTTTAATAAAATATTATCCTTATGAATTGTTTTCCTAATTTTTATTATTATTTGATACAGTTATAACCAAAGACAATTTTATTTTATACTTTTTTATTCTATACATTCACTTTATTAGTCATATTCAAAGTTTCTAAATACCGATAGGAGTTTGTTCAATTGGTAAACAACTTGATATCGCTTTTGAATTAATATGTATACATAAAATTCCTACTAGGTTTGCCCATATTTATCAAGACGAAATCTTAGAACTGAAAAAACATAAAAAAATCTATAACTGTTTGCTAATAGTTTCATATCTTGATCTGAATTTTTTTATTAAAAAATAGTAATTACCTTTTTTTTTTTGAATAAGTCAGAATTTTATTACCCAAAGTAAAGTTTAAGTACAACCAATCAACCAACCAACAGTAAAAAAATCAAAAGAAATTGACCTAAAAAAAAGATTGGTTAGACTATACCCCAAACATCACAAAGCTTAAGATTAGTACTATCAAGTCTATTAATATTAGTACCCTTAAGACGGATCCCAACAACGTCTTTAACTTCCTTGAGCAAACATTCCACCGTTTTATGACGTCCCAAGAAGATTCTTTAATTTATTTCCTGCTAGATGAAGTAAAGAAATGCAGTCGAAGAAATTTTCAAAATGGTGGTAAGGAGTGACCTTTCTTTCCATGTAGAAGAAGCCTTTGGAACCATTTCAACCCAAGTCATGGAAGATGAATTCATCCCATTAAACTTCAGAATAGCATTCCAGAGAGCTGCTGCCAGTGGGCATTGCATGAAGAGGTAGTCCCTTGACTATATATTAGTGTCGCAGTTTACACAGTGGAGATCAGTGCAAATTCCCATTGTATTGAGTCGGTCTCTAGTTGGCAACCGGTTGAGTATTATCATCCAGGCAATCAAACTTAACTTTAGAATGTGTAATGGGAACCAAATTAATTTGTGCCAAGTTACTTTTTGTTCTTTGAATCGGATCAGGTGCCATATGTCCCTTGTTTGCACAAGATCGGCTGAAATAATTGGTGAAGCTTCTGTCCGCAATTTCAAATATCTCTAACACAAAAAATGTCTCGATTTTAATGTCGGGTTTAAATGAATAAAGGAGCAAAATTCTATTTTTGAAATGCATACATTAAATGTTAGGTTTTACGAATAAGATTTATAGTTGTAAATCTAATGTTTGCCGATGGAATTCTAAATAAGTTTTCACCTACCAAATTCATACAAGGTTGTGAGATGCGATAACTAAGATCTTATTGACAACAGTGAATGCCTAAAAAGAAATTCAAGCAGTAAAATCAGTGCGCGCGTTTCTACCGACCGCGGTGTATTATTCTTACCTAATTGCCTGTGTTGTTGCTGTTACAGTAATCGTTGGCTTTTGAGTTTTAACCGTTTGGGGTTTTACTAGCCAATTTTTACACGGACGAGGGGCGACCGTACATTCAGTCGGCTTCGACTGTTGTTTCAATGTCCGAGCATAATGGAGTCAAACTTTCAGACACGTCGCCGTCACGTACCACGCAAATTGCAAACACTCTATTATACTGGGAATCGACAACGACTGTTCACCAAAAGCTCTCTTCTATTAAACCAAAACAGAATTTTCATCCAAATATTTCTAAATATAATCTGCTTCTGATTAGCTTTCGCTCAGAAAGGGATATTACTCAAAGCGGTGTCTCTTTTTTTCCCCTATTCCTTCTTTGTCTAAGTTCAATCAAGTTGGATTAAAAATTTGTTTGGGTAAATTATACTTCAGATCACTTAAATAATCGATCATCATAAATATGTTATTGGGTCATTAAATATCCAGCAAATTTATGACATGAAATATTTTATTTATTAAAAAAATATTAAATTTCAAATATCATTGCTCGCTGTTATGTACAGTAGCTGATGAATCCTGAATTTTATCATAAGGTATACATGTCTAAATATATCCACATGAGTTTTGATTTTCACGGAATTCATGACCTTGCATGTTTTCTTTCAGATCGAAAACAACACTTTTCCGTTACAAAAAAAAAAAATATTAGGTATTGGTTAATTTTTTTGGTATGATACCAGTAACAAGGGAGAATAAGGATGCGAAAACGATTTTACACTAGTACTTTATCAAGAAAATAGGGTTTGTTGTTCCTTAATTAAGAACAATATTAACATGTTTCAAGAAGATTGTTTATCTCCTCATCTTTCAAAAAACTTATTTCTAATTTTTCTCAATCTCAATAGATTACGGTGTTAGTAATAATTCTTCAACTTCATTTTTTTTAGTTGTTTCTTCAACTAAAGTTACATAAAGTTTATAAAGAGGCCTTCTAAAATTTGCTCTTTGATTAGTGATATGGTTTTTCCATACCTCATTAATCAAATTATATATTTTTGTTTCTAAATCGGGATTATAAAAATCTTTTATTTCTTCTTTTTTGGTTTTTGATTGTTGTGGTTTCAACAGTGCTTCAACCTTTTTTTTTATAATTTCAACATAGCTTTCTTGACATACTGAGTTAGGATCTTGTGACCACTGCAGTTGGCTTACTGAAGGTGTCATCTAAAATTGTTGTACAACTCCTTTCGAATACGAAATATAATATCCTTGGTTAGGATAATACATTACCGGATATTGTACCGGCACAAATCCTTGGTTAGGATTTTGTTGTTTCGGAATCTCTTTGTTGAGAGGCTTTTTTCCTCTATCCACTAGTTCATGCTAAGAAAATCAGCAATATTAATTATTTAACTTGGTTATCAGTTTTTATTACAAATTTCTCAGGTACTAAATAAATAAGAAATTTTTGTATACCATCTTTTTTGGCTAACAATTCTTTTATAAAAAATTACATACTTAATTTCATTTGGTTTAAATTTATATAATGCATATCTACATATTAATTCTTGATTATCCATTATTTTGGCTTTAAAACCACATCCCAAACATTTTTCTCAGGCATCTGTTTAACCGATACCTAACGGAGAGATCCGTTTAAGTCAAAAGCACTGTTTTTTTCCATTTGGAAAAGGGAAAAGTGTTCTTTTTAATTATTTTGTTTACCGAATTGAAAGGAGATGAAAAAAATATACCAAATTTGAGAGGCCAATCCTCTAGAAGACGACAAGAATTTAGTCAAAACATAGTTTGAAGATAGGAAATGAAGTGGTAAGAGGATGATGATTGGTGAACACTTTTGCTTTAGGAGTGGAGGATGAGGATGAATGAATTGGACAAGTTGTCATGTGAGGAGAGCACCAGTCCCATGAAAGTTAAACATAGACACATAGTGATTAGGATGGTTACTGAATATTTTTAGGGTTGGGGATCAAAAAAGCTTAAATTTCATGCCCACGCAATGAAGTTTGGTGATCTAGTGTGGGCCTCGTGGCCTATGCTTTTTGAAAAGAGGACGGTGGTTTGTTTCAAAGTGTGGAGTTTTGTGGATTTGTGTGCATTGGAATTAGGAAAATGTCTTGTGGGTTTACTTCATCATTCTTCTTTCTTTTTCTTAGTTCCCACACACCAAAGGCCTTTTTTTCAGTGTAGAATATTTAATTTACATCTAAATCTGCATTAAACGATGAGTATTAGCATTTGTATGCCTTTTATTTACCTCTAAATCAAATTTTAGATATTAAAACGGATCAAAACTGATAATTTAAGCATTAAAAACGTAGTTTACCTAATAATAAAATCATGCATACATCATTTTACTATTTATCATATTGTTAAAAAATACATAATAATAAAAAGAAATTATTTATTCACTTTGACTCAAATATTAATTAAAATCGAATTGATGTAACGTTCGAATTAGATTTTAATAAATTAAATTTGTTTTGTTTTCGATTCAGGTTCATCTAGATTTTAGTTACTTTTGGATTAAATTACTTTTAGTTAAGGTCAAATTATTTACCTGTCTATATTGATCTATCTAAAACCTGTGTCGAATTTAATTTAATTTAGATTAAAAATAAATATAATCTATCACATTTTAATTTATATTAAATCTTAAATCAAATAAATTTATTTAGATGATCAAGTTCGGATCAAGTTCGGGTAAAACGGGAGTTGAATCGAAAATATAACTGAGCTTTGGGTTGATATAAAGCCTAGTAACGTTAAAACAAGAGCTCCGAATAATGAGGACGGGCCATAAAATGGTTGAGATATGAGAATTAAGTTACAGGTTACGGGTTACAGGTGGCCCATCTGGGTATGAGGCTATGGTAGTGCAAATGACCCAGCAAGGTGATCACGTGTAAAGAACTTTGGTCGTCGTTAACTTATTTGGGCCTAGTGAGCCACTTACTTCGATCACTCTCTCATTATATAAGGCCGTGACTCGTACATAATGAGAGAGTGGACGATAGTAAACATACATAATACATAGGCTTATACATTTCAAGCATAACCCAACCAACTTTGAACCCAACAACACGTGGGTATTAGCTCATTCTTGTTGTCTTTCTGATAACGATTTTAAATAAATATTTGATGTTACGAATTAATATAATAATATATTATATACATTAAATTATTGATTAAATTAATATCACAAATTAATTTATTATAAATCATTGAGCGCCAATCTATCGAGGGACATAAAAGTATACCCATATTAATTAATGTACGAAACGTGTATATGGTATATACTAGGGCATAATAGTAAATCTCGCAAAACCTTAGCCCTGAAAAATGAAAACCTCATTTACTCTCAGTCACAATCCACTACCAACTACGAGAATAAAATGGTAAACTACATTAAGGGTCACTATATTTTAAAAATTGTAATTTAATCACTAAAGTTTCAAGTGTTACATTTTAGTTATTTATAAATCACATCGTTACTTTTCAATTCTCCCATGTCTCCTAAGATGGTAATTGAGGAGTTATTTGAGTCAGATTTGGTCGATAATTAAACTTATTGGACTTGAATTTTTAATAAGTCAAAACGAGCTATATTTGATATTTGGTTCAAAAAACTTGTGAATAATTTTAAAAGTTATTATTTTAATTAAATTATTAATAATATTAACATTTATATGTTATTTTTTTAAATGTAACACAAAGTTTTTACGTACTTAAGGTTTAAACTCAAGTTTGACTTCAAACTTGAATTGAGTTCGATTTCGAGATTGAATTGAGCTCGTGTTCAAATTTCAATTGAGTTCAGTTTGAAAATATTTCGAATTCAAGTTTTTTTAGTTCAAACTTTAATTTTTATTTCAAGTTTGAATCAAATTTAACAATTTTAAGCTCGTACGATTTCAAGTAGAGTTAAGTCCAATTTTTAAAATTTTAAATCGAATCGAACTCGACTCAACTCGTTTACAATATTATCATCTCCAACCATTATAACCTCTATATCAAGATCATGTATTTATTTATAGTTAAAGAAAATAGTGGAGTGATGACTGAGCGGTGAAAATTGAACGGTGAGAATTGATATGTTAATGATAAGTTAACTAATGAAAATAAAATTTTTAATAACTTTATAAAATTAAAATTTTTATTAATAATTGAATTAAAATTTTAATTATAATTTGAGAATTATATTTAACATTAATTTTTATTAATGTGTCAATTAACGAGGATTATTTTAAGATTTATCAATAATTTTAGTGACCAACCAAAACGCACCTAAACCTTTAATAACCAAAATAAAAACACTGAAACTTTAGAGGAAATGGGGTGTAATTTACCATTTAATAAAAGAAGAAAAAGAAAAATACAATAAAAGGTAGATATTCAGATTAGGCTCCATCTCTCTCTTCTCCCTCTTTTGGCGGCTAGGGTTTTTCTCTCTCTAAACTCTTTCCATTTCTTTTCCATTTTCCTTTTCTTTGTTCCTTTCTCACTTCACTTTCTTGCAGATCTATTATTGGAAGGTTTGTTTGATTGTAAAGTATACTAAAACTATCAATGGATGTTCTGTGTGAGTCATTTATATATATTTATATATAAAGAAAACGACGATTATATCTTTGGAGGGGGTTAGTTTGGGTACTTTTTTTTAAAGAGATGACGAGCTTGAACCCTTTTGATTTGTTGGGAGATGATGATACCGGGGAGCTTTCAGTACTGATCGCTGCACAGCAAAAGCCTGTGTCAACCGCCATCGTCGTTCCAAAGAAGGGCCCGGCTCAGTCTCAGGCTAAGCAGCAGCCTACTCAGACTAAACAAGCTAAGCTTCCCTCCAAGCCTCTCCCTCCTGCTCAGGCCGGTAAGCTTAACCTATAAAAGTTGCTCGTTATTTTCACATGCTTGTATTATTTGGTTCTTCAGTGTTATCTGCTTAATCAGCAGAAATAATACTGTAATATAAAAGGTGAGTGTTTTTTATCTACTTTCCTTAGATCAAGATTAAGTTACCGTTTTGTTAGGGGTTGAGTGGTGGGGATTTTGAAGTTGGTTTGTTGTACAGAGAATGCTTCAGTTATACTTTCTTCCCTTGTAGTACAAAATCATGTCAAGTTGGAAAGTGAAGATTTTGTGACTTCTGTTTCTTGAGCTATGTTTAAATTAATACTACTAACCTCTTTGAAGTGAGGGAAGCCAAGACTGAAGGTACTCGTGGCGGAGGCCGTGGTGGACGTGGGCGTGGTGGAAATGCTGGATACAGAGGTGATACTGCCAATGATGAGAACTCATTCAGCAACAGTGTTATTCCTGGTGGTCAAGGTGCACTTGAAGATGGAGAGAGTGGAAAGTCCAATGAAAGGCGTGGATATGGTGGCCCTCGGCCTTATCGTGGTGGTCGCCGTGGTGGCTTTGGTAATGGGGAAGCTAGAGATGGGGAACGACCTCACAGAGTGTTTGAACGCCATAGTGGGACTGGACGCGGGTAAAATATTATTTTTTGACTGTTTATCTTGATATTCTCTGGTTTCAGCGATTTATCCAAGTCTCACAAGTGATGCTTTTTGTTTGTTGTTCATGTCTGCAGAAATGAGTTCAAACGTGAAGGCTCTGGTCGTGGGAATTGGGGAAATCAGACTGATGAACTATATCCGTGAGTTGTTCTTAGAATTCCAGCCTTGTAAAATCAAATAAAATCATCAGTTTGTTTCGTTCTTATTTCATCATTGTAATCATTGAGGGAAATGAGATTTTGTCTTTGCTTCTTTCAGGGTCACCGAAGAAGCCAACGAAACGGGTAAGAATTTAGCTGATGAGAAGCTTGCAGGAGAAGAGGATACAGGAGATGCTAACAAGGAGAACCCTACAGATGAAACAGAAGAAAAAGAACCTGAGGATAAGGTAGAATCACTTGACAATTTATCCATATCAGATGATTATTAATCTTTGTAGCCTTTTGTAATTGTAAATCTACGCTACAAACTAGGGCTATTACTGTGTGTGTGACCTTTGATATTGAAATAGGAGATGACTCTTGAGGAGTATGAAAAGGTGCTGGAAGAGAAAAGGAAGGCCCTGCAGGCACTCAAGACTGAGGGAAGAAAAGTTGATGCCAAGGAGTTTGAGTCTATGAAGCAGCTTTCAAACAAGAAGAAGAATGACGATGAAGTTTTCATCAAGTTGGTAAGTGCTTTTGATTCACTTTAGAACAGTCTATCATGATTTACTTATCTGATTAGTTGTCAAATATGTAGTAATCATCTGTCCTTTTGGTTTCTTGTATAGGGCTCTGATAAGGATAGGAGAAAAGAGGCTTATGAGAAGGAAGAGAGAACCAAAAAGGTATTTTCTTATGTTTGTGTGATCTGTTTTTTCCAGTTTACCCGAGCCTTCATTGATTAATTTGATGCATAGCACACTTTGAACATCAATCGTGCAATTTTGAATTTAACTATTATCAACTTCCTTGATTTAAACTTTTATCTATAATGCTTCTCTTCTCTGAACCCGAGGCTTAATTTGCAAAGCATGTGTGTGTGTTCCTTCCATGTTTCCATCTTGATCATGAATAAAGTTTTAGGTGCATTTATTGATCCTTATGCTTGTGGTGGTAGGCTCTGAGCATTAATGAGTTTCTGAAGCCTGCTGTAAGGGAGAGGTACTACAACCCGAGTGGACGTGGGCATGGGCGCGGGCGTGGTTCAAGAGGATTTGGTGGTGACAGTGAAGCAAGTAATGTGGCAGCACCTTCCATTGAAGACCCTGGGCAGTTCCCATCATTGGGATGCAAGTGAGGTTTCTCTATAGCCCCCACATGCCATCTCCAGTTTTCATTTTCTTTGATTTTTGGGTTCTTCATGTTTTAGGTAGGGTCTGAACTCAAATAACTTGGTTCCCTGTTGCCCAAGGACCTTAAAATTTAATGTTTTAGTGTATATTTTGTGTTTTATTCTCCCTAACAATTGTTATGCTGTGATCCGACTCCCCCCCCCCAAAAAAAAATAAGAATTAGAAACTGGAGCCCTGTGAAATTATTGCTGCTGTTGTTTTGAAATAGATGGACCTATTTTGCAACTTGTTTAGCCACAATGATAATGTGTTTTACGCACTCTTACCAACTTGCTGTTACAAAATTGTTCTCTCCTATATGCTTCTCCAACTGCCTTTGAAATTAAGGCCTACTTAATTGCTAATTGTGATTGAACAATGAGTTTTTGGGATGCCGGATTTGTTTTTTTAATATAATTGTAAAAGTTAAAAATACCGTCTTTTGTTTTTGGAAAAGTCTTCGAGTGCTAAATTATTATTTATTCTTAATATTTTGTAATTGATTATGTTTTCAATATATATTTAAAATAAATATTTTAATTTCTTATATATCGAGCATCTAAATTAACAAATCATACTTCTTTTTTACATTCGATGGTAATAAGAATCATATCTATCCCCTTTTAAAAGTCAATGTGAATATGCACTAAAATAAAATAGAAAAAAGTTGGGTGTAAATGAACCGAGTTTGAACGAACGATGTTACGTCTGTGTTTGTTTATTTATTATTTACGAATATGTTCATGAACGTGTTCGTTTATATGTTCATGAATATACTCATTTAGGATTTGTTTATTATTTGTTTATATGTTCAATTTTTAGTTTTACCCTTCTAAGCTAAAGAAAAATTGTAAATTATGCTATTAGTGCTTAAACTTGTTAAAATATAAACTGAAATTTAACGTTTAAATTTTAGTTTTTATCATGTGTTCAATTTAGTCACTACCATTACCAATATTTAAAATATAAAAAATAAAGAAAAGAAAAAGTAGGTAAACGAGCTTGTTCATGAACATAAATAAACAAATCGATAAATGAGCTCATAAACGAGCTTATAAACGAGTTTTTTCATGCACATAAACGAACTGAACATACGTTTGTTCGTGTTCATTCTTTTATTAAATAAATTTTATTCATACTCGTTTATTTAACTTAACAAATAAACATAAATAAATGTTATATGAACAGTTCACACAACTATCTAGGCGTTTTTTCTGAAAAATCACCGGTGATCGGTATATTTACCGATCTAATACCGGTCAGATTATATTTCCTGATCTAACACCCATAGCAGTAAAGCGTGCCCCCTACCCCGCGTTATATGCTGATTTGGCGCCACGTGGGGTATAGCGCGCCCCCTGCACCGCGCTATACGTTGACATGGGTTACACGTAGGTATAGCGCGACCCCTGATCCGCGCTATACGCTACGTAGGGGTATAGCGCGGATCAGGGGCCGCGCTATACCTGGTTATCCGACACGTGGGGTATATCGCGGTACAAGAGGTATACCTTTAATTATCCACCCGTCCACACCCCCAATCCTCCCTATAAATACCCTATCATCAATCATTTTTATCACACCAAATTTTCTCAAATTTTCTCAAATACTCTATCTGTTTAAGGTATATTTTATAATATTTTTAATATTATGTATTTAATTTATTTAAGTATTTTACTTTATTTAATATTTTACTAATATAATTCTTTTGCAGATATATAATGGAAGGCAGTCTACTTCGCTTGGATGGAAATCATATATCTCGACACTTTGTTGATACGGTAATATTTTAAAGTTTTAATTTAATTTAAATTATTAGTAATAATTAGTTGATTTATTTAATGCATGATTATTAGATTAAGAATTAATTTTTGTAATTATTTATTTTTAGGAGAATGACCGTTTATTAGATCATTTTATTAGGAATCTTAAGTTAGTGATACCTAGTCGTGTCTTACTGTATATAGTAGATGCTGGATTTGGTTACATAGGTAGATATCAGGGTCACTGTAAGATAGAACCAGACCTTATTTCTGTCTTAGTAGAGCGGTGGAGGCCGGAGACTCACACATTCCATCTTCCGTGCGGAGAGTGCACGATCACGCTTGAGGATGTTTCTATGCACGTGGGGCTTCCGGTGGATGGAGATGTGATATCAGGGATAGCTTCCGGTTCTTGGACTACTTTTTGGGAGTTGAGCGCAGACGCCTCTGAGGATGAGGTTAAGATGTATGCACGAGCATGCATATTACAGTTGATAGGAGGGTTGCTGATGCCGGACAAATCACGCAACCTAGTTCACTGCATGTGGTTGCGACATCTTAGCGACTTTCGTCTCGCCGGATCATTCAGTTGGGGCTCGGCAGTTTTGGCTTTGCTGTACATAGAGATATGTGGAGCCACTGACTACAGGCGTAATGCTATCAGCGGATGTCTCCTGCTGTTGCAGTCTTGAGCATGGTATCGATTGCCCTTTTTATGTCCCGTTGTGAAGAACCCATTCATATTTCCACTACTTCTGAGGTAATTATAAAACTGATTTTGTATATTAATAATTTTATACAGCGTAGAATAATTTTTTTTTCTTGAATAGGTGGTCTACTAATAGGAAAAATCATCAGGAGCTACCTGATGATTTAGAAAAAATTAGGGTACTAATCGATCAGAAGGCTGACACACATGTATGAATTTTAATGTTTAAAAATCGATTTTATATTATAGTTATATAATTAGATTATTATTTTGATAAAAATTATATATTATTTGTTTTAGTTTGAATGGGTGCCATATTCTACTGATGATGTGAGGGCGGTGATCCCACCTGAGTTGAGGGGTCCATCATATGTTTGGATGGCGATGGTCCCTCTGATCTGTTATGCGACCATCGAGTGACACTTCATTGATCGCGTGCTCCGACAGTTTGGTTGTTTACAACCAATTCCGGATGCACCGCGCAATATGGACGAGTTGCATAGCTTAGATAGACGCTGCAAGACAGATACAGATTGGCTGGTGAGGTATCATGAGTGGGTCGTGTTGTGAGAGGATCGACATCGGTGCCTTCCTCGTAGAGAGCCCATTTTTACTAACTTCTTGATGTATGCTGAGGGTTATTATGAGTGGTTCAACAGTAACGGGAAACTGTTTCTGCTTCCCGAGGATGCACGAGGGCAGACCTTTCCGTGACGTCGATAGAGACGTGATCCGACACAGAACCATCGTCCCCCGACTCGTGGACGGAGAGCATGTGCTTCCGGTTCATCCTCAGCTGCACCAGCAGAACCTTCACAGCAACCATATATGATGCTACAACCATATATGATGCCGCCATCACCTTTCCATTACCAGTTGCAGATGAATGTCTCCTCATTATGGCATTAAAATCATTACACATTACTGTAGTCGGGTTGTCAACTTGATCAACTTGTTCAACCAGCCTATAGTGGGAGCTTAATTATTGACCCCGAACAGCACGCACTTGAACAAAATGTGCATACATCTCAATAGTGACGTCTGAATAATTACTTCGAGCTTCAACCATCATTTGAACATCATCATTGTTCGAAAGTTCGAACGATGTATAAGTTAATGGCAACAATGATGTTGGAAATCTGTACTGCAACGACGACATTCTTCTACTACTTCCAACATGAATCTTCCTCGAAATATTCGTTATCAGCTCCTCAAGAGTTATGTTTCTCTTGAATGATATTTTAACACGCTCATTTAATACGAAAACAACGCCAGTTTCATCTTCTCGAATTTCACCATCATAATAAACAATAGCTGAAAGTCGCGCAATTCTTTGAGTTTAAAAGTGCGGCAATATTATATCTGCAAAAAAAATAACTGAAACAAACCTGATTAAATAAATTATATATGAACGAAAATATAACACAATAAATTTTTTACACATCAACGTAAATAATTTAAATAATACAACGTAAATATTATTACCTGCACCGCAAAACTATTTCGACTTATGCTCCCGCTTTTCAATTTTACAAACATAAAAATTAATTGAAAATAATTAGTATAATTTTTTTCAAATAATGATAATAAACAATAAGTATAATTAAAAAATTATAACAAAATTACCTTATAACGAAAAATCGCACGAACTTCTAAATCAAATATGAGAAGATTGCCATAATTATTATTCATTGACGGAATTGTTGTATTAATTTATAAGTTGAGAGGAGAGATACGAGATGTGAGAAACTTAACCGGCGGATGAGGTTATTTATAACCATATAAGGCGCGGTACCTGCACCGTGCTATATGTAATTATTCAGATAAAATATAGCGCAGACCAGGGACCGCTTTAAATATAATTACCCCTACGTGGCGTATAGCGCGGCCCCTGATCCGCGCTATACTCGATCCACGCTATACCCCTACGTGGCGTATAGCGTGGATCAGGAGTCATGCTATACACATGTGTAACCCATGTCAGCATATAGAGCGGTACAAGGGGCGCTATACCCCACGTGGCGTCAAATCATCATATAGCGCGGTTCAGGGGGCGCACTTTACTGCTACGGGTGTTAGATCGAGAAATATAATCTGACCGATGTTAGATCGATAAATATACCGATTACCGATGATTTTTCGGAAAAAAAAGCCCAACTATCTATCCAATTAAGAAACCAATTTGATTGGTCAATGTCGCATCATCATTTGACACTAATCAATATTATAATAAAAAGAAAATTATGTCAATAGTCTCTTTATTTTCAATCTAACTTATTTTGGTGATCGATATTTTAATTAAATATGTTTGATATTTTACATTAACAATCCGTCCGTTTTAAATCCTTAAGTAGTTAACATACGTTAATCCTTTAACATAAATCTGAGTACAATTAATAAAGATAAAAAACCACATATAAAACTCACCAGTCTTTAAAAAAAATCACGTGTAAAACTCACCACACCAGTCTTCTTTTTCTTCTTTAAAAGCATCAACCGAAATCTCTCCTCCACTCACTTTCTGGTTCAAGCTTCCTCATGTTGAGTGCAAGTACTACGTGGCGACTAAACCCATCTTCGCAGCCTCAAGTGGCCTTCAAACGCTACAAAACCCATAAATTCGTACATCCCGGACGACGGAATTCCACTCACGATTACTGAATCTGATGTTGACTTTAACCTTTTTTCAAGCAGTAGAGTCTATGAAGCTATGGGTGCTTTGATTTCAAAGTTAAAAACAAACCTGTTCCTTGGAGGAAACTGAAACTAGCTCA